GAGATGATGGTGCCTTCATTGAGGGTATTAATAGTGGAGATAGAGAGAAATGATTGATTCTACATTTATTCTGGAGGTAGAGCAGACAAGATTTGCTGATGGACTGGATGTGTGTAAAAGAGAATGAGAGACATGAGGAATAATTCCAAGGCTTTTGGCCTTAGACAAAGAGGTAAACAGAAATGCCATTTGCTGAGATGTGGGATTCAGGAGGACAGGTATGTTTTGGGGTAGTGGAATCAAGAACCATTTTGGTCATGCTACTAGACATCTAAATGAAGATGCTGAAAAGACATTTGGATTATACAACTTTGGAATTTAGGTAGAAATCATTATCATCAGTGTCCTCTTCATTTCCACTTCTTAGGAAAGGGCTTATGTTGTCTCTTAAGACACCTTCCAGCTCAAATATTGTCTGGCCCTGTGTGATCTGATTCCTGGAGGTTCCTGGATGGACTTTCCATCTAAGAGCTCAATGCAGATAAAAGAGGTAATGACTAGAAAGAGCAATAATTATTGCTGCTAAACTCTAGAAATAAGTATTTTTGAGAAAGAAGGCAGTAAATGGCTTCTTGTAGCCCAATATCTACCACGGAATCCTAGGAGGCAAAGGGCATTTCTCCCATTTGGTGGTTGATCAAGGAAGGCCAAAAGCTACCTACCATTTTAAAACTGTGTTCCTAAAAAGCACAGGTACAATGAATCTTCACTGTGACAAAGCGGAGTTGGTGAGATGTATGTACTAGTGATCCCACAGGGGATCAGAGTCAATGATTCTAACAAGCTAAGTCAAGTGTGGTAAGCAGCTGCATCTATCCTTTTCAGAAGCGTATGTCCTAGACTGAGTTGGGTACCCCTCCTCCATTTTGCCATAATAGGCAGCATATGTCTCTAGTATCATTTACTTTGTATCATAATCTGTCCGTATGTCTTTGTCCCCCACTGTGTATACTAGGAGCACAGGCACTGTCTCTTATTCATCCTTTAATTCCTGTCCCTAGCAGAGAAAATGGCCAATGTAGGCACCTAGTACTTATTTGATAAAGAAACAGGAGAATGAATCTCTCTGTGAGAGTGACAGATCCTTCATTTTTTTAAATTTATTTTTTGTCCTCTATTTCTAATTTTTATTGAGAGCATTTAATGACAGGAAATGGAGATTTTCTTGAGATGTCTGAAGGAAGTAGGATTCACTCCTTAACCTAAAGGACTAGAACAACTTATTGTGGAGGTGTGAGTTTAAAGAGGCCTAGAACCTGAAGAAGGGGCACACACAAGCACAAATATTTGCAGTAAAAGAACCCTGATGAGGAGGCTATGAAAAACTCTGCAAAGATGACTGAATGGCACTGTCAACAGATGATGCATAGGATGCCAGTCACCACCAAGATTCCATGAGGCCCATCATGGGTACCTAGCTCAGTATAAGATATGATTAAGGGTTCTGAGCCACCTTTTTATGGTCCTTGATTTCTAGGATCTGGACATTAACAGGAAAGACTGAAATTATCTCTGCTTGTTCTTTGGAGGCTGTTATCAGACACAACCACTCATGTTAAGACCACAGTGTTCATAGTTAAGAGTCAAGGTTTAGATTCCTGAAATCTTCATTTATATTCTAGAGCATACAAGAGATGCCTGACCCTGCTTTTTGTACTAGTCAATCCCAAAAGGATTACGCAATTTTTTGAGTTAGGTTTCATGACAGTCTGGAATGATGCTCTTCTACCTACAGAACTAGGTAACTTGGGCACTTTGGATATAAAACAATCAGCCGTTTGGCTAGGTTAAGAGTTTATAGTGACTCTGTGACAGTCTGGAATGATGCTCTTCTACCTACAGAACTAGGTAACTTGGGCACTTTGGATATAAAGCAATCAGCCATTTGGCTAGGTTAAGAGTTTATAGTGACTCTGTAAGCTACCTTACAGGAATGGGAAGAGAACGATGAGTGATCACTAAAGAGAAAAAAGTCAATGGTCTTAACTTGTTCAGTGCCCAAGTTCAAGGCCCTAGCAGGCTGAGAACTTCCCACTGCTTTGCTCCTCTAAACTGAAGACTTCTTGAGAATCCAAATGGGCCAAAGCTGAGCATAACTAATAAGGAAAGCTCAACGTCCAACTCTGCACAAAGCGCAAGGGCAGGTGGAATTGCATGGGTTCCTGGGGATCGCCCAAGCCGACCCACGGCCACAGATGTCTACGGCGGGTAACACCTCTCTGCCCTCACTCATCCCAGGCCCCTTTCGGACAGCATCCGATAGGAACCCACACAGCCAGACGTCTGTCCACTTCCCCAGCCTCGCGAAAGGTCCGGGTCGCTCCCGTGCTATCCCCGCCTCGGCCCCGCGGCCCCCGCAGCTCACCCCAGGCAGCCAGACAGTCAATCTGCAGAGGCAGCTTTTCTAAGATCGGCACCGGCTCGAAAGCGTCGTGCATGGCTGCGAGCGGGAAGTCGTCACCGCCGTCTCGCCCCGAGGTTGCCGGGCCGGGATTGGGGACAGAACCCGACCGGGGGAAGGGTAGACCTAGACCACCAGGCCGGAGAACCTGGCTACAGGGTCTTCAGCAACACAGCCATCCTCAACCCCGGACTTCCTGCTAGGTTAAGCCCGCCCCTTCCGCAACCAAGTCCCGCCCCTTCCGCCCTGGCTCCCAAAGCACTCTTAAGGAATGTGTTGGTCTTGGATTCCCTTCTTCACCTTCGATTTATCTTCTCTGTCATGGGGCCCGAGTAGCCAAAGACTTGACAGGAATGAAGAACTGTCTTAGGCAGTGAGCGTAGTGATTAAGAATTCGGGCGTTGGGCTGGCCCGTGGCTCACTCGGGAGAGTGTGGTGCTGATAACACCAAGGCCTCGGGTTCGGATCCCATATAGGGATGGCCGGGTAGCTCACTGGCTGAGCGTGGTGCTGACAACACCAAGTCAAGGGTTAAGATACCCTTACCAGTCATCTTTAAAAAAAAAAAAAAAAAGAATTCGGGTGTCAGTCAGAACTTGGATGGAGATCTGCCATTTAGGAAATTAGCTGTGCCGTTCAGGAAATTTAATCTTCCGAGGCCTTACTGTACTAACCTGCAAAATGATTTTAGTGTCGAGTACCTATGACCTAGTGTCCCGAGTGCTTAGCAACACCTGACACACTCTTAAGCACTCAATACATTACCACTATATCCCAACTAGTTCAAGTACTTTACCCTTACATTTTGAAAGTTGCTCTAGGCCAGTGGTTCTCAAAAGGGTGGTCTCTAGACCAGCAGCATCAGCATCTCCTGTGAACTTACTGGAAATGCAAAAGATCTCAGGCCTCACTCCAGCTCTGAATTTGAAATTCCGGAGAGGAACAGCAGTCTGTTTTAATAACCCCTCAAAGTTAGTCCATGCACCTAAAAACTTGAGAACCACCGTTCTTGGATAGGTTTCTCAACTACAGCACCATGGACACTTAGGGCAGAATAATGGGGGGGGGGTGCAGGGAGGAGGCTGTTCTGTGCATGGTAGGATGTTTAGCAGCATCCCTAGATTCTACCCACCAGATGCCAGTAGCACCCTCCCCAGAGATGACAACCAAAAATGTCTCATTTTGCCAAATGTCCCAAGAGGGAAAATCACCCCTAGTTGAAAATCACTGATGGAAGCCAATACTTCTCAAATTTAATATGCATTCACGTCACCAGGAAATACTATTAAAATGCAGATTTTGATGCAGTAGAACCAAAGTAAGGCTCCCTACAGTTGTTGATGCTACTGGTCCCTGGACCACATTTTGAGTAGCAAAGGTTTAGGAAGCAAGAGTTGATTCACTAACTCTTGGGAGTCAGTAAAATGAACCTCTTTTTAAGTTGATGATCACATTCAACCACTTCAACCCTCCCAAGCTGTGTCTTACATCCTAATACTCCTTTTAGAAAGGTAAGTGACATGGCTCTTTCCTCCTTGTACTGTCTGAGGTTACCTTAGCATTCCCCCTGGAGACTTAACAACAAAACTGAGTTTGAGCTGCAAGAATGATCTGTATCTGGTAAATTCTGCCAAAGAAAACATCAGGTATGTTATAAAATTAAGCATTTGGGTTTAAAGCAAAAATGTAAAAGAAAAGGGGTTATTAGTCTATGATATGAAGTCAAAAAACTGGTCCTGGACACTTTATTTTTGCACGCCAGTTTCTTCATATGTAAAATAGGGATCCTTGTCCCATCTTTATCAAATGCTGTTCTTATAATCAAAAGTATATTTTCAAGTAGTCAAAAACTTTAAAATTTCTAAACAAAATCTTGTATTATTGCTGATTTTCACCACAGAAGCTGATCACATTCTTGAAAATTAGAATTACCAGTGGTTGTGCTGGAAGAAGGTCCAATACCTTTTCGTCCCAGGCCCAAGGACCAAGACCAAAATAAACAATATAAACTCTAAGACAACAGGGAATGTGAAACTATAAATTCCTTCTTAACCTGTCTGTCCTAAGAATGACACACTATATCCAACCCCAGTAACACACATAGCGAAAAGTAGAATTATCAAGCCCCAGACTACAGAATTTGTTCCATACACTCCTGCTTAACAAAATAGATATTTTTCTAGTCTCAAGTCAACATCAAACAAGCTCAAAAAATATCTAACTATCCTACCACATTATAATTGTTATTCGCCCACTAAGTTTTAGTATGCAACAGCAGGACACAAGACCACTAGCCTTTTGCTAATGGATTAGCATGAGAATATAGTCAGTTCTTCATATTGCTGTTCTTAAAGATATTGCCTAGGTGATTTTTTAAAAAATCCCCATAGCAAAGAACTGTAGAGAAATGCTACATAAATGTTAACACTTTCACTACAGTATGAGTTAGTGAAGATTGTGGTCAGATGGTCACTGGTTTCAACAGAAGATAAGACAATCTTGAAATAAAAGCCATGGAAAGAATATTTCCACAAGAGACACTTTGGGAGAGAATGAAGGGTGTTTAGAGAAAGTTTGAAAAAAAAATGAGAAAAACATATTAATTTTGTTAAAATTTTTTATATTAAAAAATGGCATGAACTTTTTATGTAGAACAAAAATCTTGGGAAGGCAAAATTGGATATTAAAACAGAAATATAGTGCTTCAAATGAATCCCATCACCTTGTGATGCCCCTTATAAACAGTCTCTAAACCAACCAGATACTAGAACAGTCAATTCCAAAGAACAAGCAGCAGTCCAGGGCCTCCACACTACATGCAAGGGTAACTGTTTAAATTAAGCCAGCAGCACCTATTTCCTTTATATAAGCTTCCTCTTCTGAAGCATTACAGTCCCTCTAGCAGGGTGCTTAATCACAGCACCTAGATGGAATGGAGTGCTTCTCTAAATTTAGTGCCACACCCAGTGAATGAGGCAAGAAAGCAAACAAAGCACTGCCTAGGACACTGCAATGCTACCCTTGGAGGCTTACAAAACAGTAGTTAAAAGTTTCGGAGTGTGCACCACATTGCCAGCAATGGGATGTGTCACAATAGCAGATGTCAAAAGAGTTAAGCTAATATTTCTCTTTAAAGTACATCTGAAATAGAAAAATCTTTAATATACACCATTTGTAAACAAAATTGCACTTGATTTTTCTTTTTTAAATGATCTGAATCACACTGTAACAGTTTCTTTTTTTTTTCTGTTAATCATTCATAGAACCATAGCTCCTTAACTCAAAAGGGCCCCTTTTTCTTAAAATTACATCTGCAAGACATAACCTTGAATTCCCAGGAAACTGAAAGATAATTAAGTTTCCCCCATCACTATGTAACTCCCTAAATAAATAAAAATTACAGGCAGTTGCTCCTGGAGAGTACATATTATGGTGTTGATGACATACTCCTATAGAAGATGTTAAACTTTTTAGTTTGACAGATTAAACAACTGAAACATACAAAGTTCAGGAACAACACACATAAGTTGCATAAACATCCATGTCAGGGTTTGGGGAGGGAAAGGGGCATCAATGTTGTAAATAAGAAGCTCGTAGATTTTTCACATCCTGTGAACTTGTTTTCAGTAAGATGTTCTCCTTGTTTTGACACCTCTTGCCAGCTCCAATGCACAAAGATGAAGGAACAGATCAGGATTTCATTGCCTCCTTTAATTTCATGGAGCAGTGTAGAAGACTGACCCAGAAGCTGATCTCTTCCCTGATACTAGCCATCTTCAACTGCAAGTCTTCCCATTCCTTACTCCATTTTGGACCTTTCAAAGTGTGTGATCATTCGTTCCTAGGGGTGAAAAAAAGGTTTATCCTAAGTATATTAATTTAAAATGGTCTACATTCCAAATATCTTCTATGCAGACTATCCAAACACATTTTCCACAAGTACTTGTTTATATTAATTAAACGTTTAGAGCAATGGTTCCTAAACATCTACGAAGATTTTGAAACATACAGATGTCCAGGCCCCACCCAAGATCAAGTAGATCAAAATCTCTACGCTTCTGGACAGCAAATCACAACTCAGAAGCAAATGTATGTTTCAGAGTCAATTAAGATAATTAAGCAAGTATTTACTTAAGATTAAGCTTTAATAAAAATTTGTACCTCCTCTAATTCAGGAATTTAACTTGAAGATCCAACAATGTGTACAAAGATTTAGCCACACCAATCAACACTAGAAAGAACTAAGTGTTCAAAAATATAGGGTTGTATAAACAAATTATGATACACCCTTACAATGAAATATTATATATTCATTAAAATTACATTTGATGAAGGGCCAGCCCGTGGCTCACTTGGGAGAGTGCAGTGCTGATAACACCAAGGCCACAGGTTCGGATCCCTATATAGGGATGGCCGGTTTCCTCACTTGGGAGAGCATGGTGCTGACAACACCAAGTCAAGGGTTAAGATCCCCTTAACGGTCATCTTTAAAAAAGAAAAAATTACATTTGATGAAAAAGTTCTAGAGACCTGTTGCACAACAATGTGCATATAGTTAACACTTTGCACTTGAGAATGGTTAAGAAGGTAGGTTATGTGTTTTTTTACAATTTTAGAAAACCATGTAAAAAAAACTGCATTTGATTAAAAATGGTATTTAGAGTATCCCAATTCAATTAAGAAAATGTACTAACATTAAATTTCCTTTCTTAAGCAATTTTTACCTTAGAGTTAATATTTTTTTCATTTTTTTCCTTGCTTCATTTGCTAAAGTACCTATCATAAATGTATCCTAAACTCTGACAGAACTGTAACTCCTTTTGAATATGATCAACACATCAGAGAATTTATATCCTTTTCATTTTTTTCCTGAGAAACACCCTGCCCACAGGGGGGGGCACGTTGATTCAACAATACACAGAACAATTGTCTCTGTTCTGCTCCATTCCAGTTGTTTTCCAAGCCTTTTCCGAGCTGTCATCCTGAGAATTTCTTACATCATCACACTGGGAATGTTCTCTGACTCTCTGTTGGACCCTTTATTACTGGATCCCAAGTCTTTCTCTTTTTCAGTTACCTCTTTTTTGTAAAGAACATTTTCCATTACTTTCGCCAAGTCTTTCTCTTTCTCAGATACCTCACTTTTTCTGAAGAACATTTTCCATTACTTTCCTGAGAAAGGACATCAATTGTTTTATTTCTTGGGTAACTGAAAACATCTTTATTTTACCCTTATGTTGATAGTTTAGTTGGGTATAGAATTCTAGGTCTAAAATAATTTTCCTCAGAATTCAAGGGAATTTTTCTAATTATCTTCTGGCTTCCAAAATTGCTATTGAAGAGTCTGAAGCCATTTTGATTCCTGGTCCTTCATGTAAATTGTCTCTCCTGTAATTTATTTCTTTTTCAGCTTTTTTTTAAAAAAGGCCTTAGAAAAAGAGATGTTGGCAAGATAGTAGACGAGGAAGATCTAGACCCTCCTTTCCCCACAGACACATTGATTCAACAATACACAGAACAATTGCCTCTGAAAAATCCAGAAACCAGTCGAGGGGCGCCAGTACCAAGGTAGAGCATGAAATCAGCCATATTAAAGCCAGTAGGAGAATTTGGGTACCCTCCTGGTCATAATTTCCTCCCTCTCCTGAAACCCAGCACCGCACCACATGAGCAGGAGGAAACCCTCAGCTCCTAGCTTCTCCTTGGAGAGGGAAGGAAAGGACTGGGACGTACATCTAACATTATGACTTTTCTGGAAGCTGCCCGAGGAACTGGTTTCAGTCTTACCTGAATCTGAACGCTAACAGCAAAGGACCCCGGGTTGAAAGTCACTGAGACAAAGGTGGAGGTTTGGACTAGCATGCATACACTCATCACAGCCACTCCCCCAGCTCAGTGCAGAGCAAGCAGTCAGAAACCCCTAGATTCCAGTTCCTCTCTGATGAGGAAAGAGTTGGACTGTGAATCCAATGTTCCAACTTTTCAGGAGGTTGCCCAAGGGACTTGCTTCTGTCTTGCCTGTCTAGGAAAACAGTAGTTTAGGTGCCTGGGGGCCAACGTGAACAAAAAAAGAGCTATGGCATGCTGCTGATCTAGAAGTCCCATCGTAGAGTAGAAAGATACCAAAGGGAGCAAGAGATTATACATTCTGGTGGGGAGAAACCAGCAAATCCCTCTGGGAATTTTAGATACACAAATCCAGAGAGAACGCTTATACAGAGAAGGTTGGAGAAGCCCCCAGAATCTCTGGCTGGGCTGATCTTCTCTTGTACAAGGCCAGTCAATGAACACAGAGAGGTGGATATTTTTTCTAATGTACAGATACCAAGACAAAGCAACAAGATAAATCTCCAGATACCAACCCTAATGAAAAAGATGTATATGAATCACCTGACAGAATTTAAAATAACTATCATTAAGATACTCAACAAGCTCAGGAGAAGAATGCATGAACAAAGTGAGAATCTGAACAAAGAGACAGAAAATATTTTTCAAACGCCAATATACTGAATAACCTAGAAGAAATGGATAGATTTCTAGAAACATACAACCCACCAAGACTGAATCAAGATTTTTTTATTGAAGAAATAAAAAACCTGAATAGACCTATAACAGGAAAGAAGACTGAACTGATAATCAAAAACCTCCCAACAAAAAAAGCCCAGGACAAAATGGCTTCACTGGTGAATTCTACCAAATATTTAGATAAATTAACACCAATCTTTCTTAAACTCTTCCAAAAATTAAAGAGAAAAGAATTTTTCTCATTTGGAAGCAACTTCCAAACTCCTTCTATGAGGCCAGCATACCCTGATAACAAAGCCAAAGACATTACAAAAAACCGAAATTACAGGAAAAATATCCCTGATGAAAAACAGATGCAAAAATCTTCAACGAAACACCAGCAAACAGAATTCAACAGCACATTAAAAGGATCATACCCCATAACAAAGTGAGATTTATCCCTGAGAAGCAAGAATGGCTCAACATACAAAAGCCAATCAATGTGATACAACACATTAACACAATGAAGGACAAAAAACACACCATCTGAATTGATACAGAAAACACATCTGACAAAATAAAACACCCTTTCATGATAAAAATTCTCAAAAACCTAGAAACAGGGAGAAATTACCTCAACATAATAAAGGACATATATGAATAGCCCTCAATTAACATTATAGTCAACAGTGAAATACTGAAAACTTTTCCTCTGATCAGGAAGAATATAAGGATGCTAAATCTCGCCATTTCTATGAAACACGGTACTGGAAGGCCTAGCCAGAGCAACCAGCCAAGGAAGGGGGAAAAAAAAAAAAAAAAAAAAAGGGCATCCAAATCAGAAAGGAAAAAGTAAATTATCTTAGTTGCAGATGACATGATAATATATGTATAAATTCCTAGAGTCCACCAAAAACTGTTAGAATTAATAAATTAATTCAGTAAAACTGCAGGATACGAAATCGACATACAAAAATCAGTTGCACTTCAGGGCCAGCCCGTGGCTCACTCGGGAGAGTGTGGTGCTGATAACACCAAGGCCGTGGGTTCAGATCCCATATACGGATGGCCAGTTAGCTCACTGGGTGAGCACTGTGCTAACAACACCACATCAAGGGTTAAGATCCCCTTACTGGTCAACTTTAAAAAAAAAATCAGTTGCAATTCCATACACTAACAACAAACTATCCAAAAAGGAAATTAAGAAAAAAATCCATTTACAATACTATAAAAAAGAATAAAATACTTAAGAATGAACTTAACCAAGGAAGTAAGAGTTATATACTGAAAACTACAAGCATTGATGAAAGATATTAAAGCCACAAATAAACAGAAATATATTCTGTGTTCATGGGCTGGAAGACTTAATATCAGTAGAATTTCCACACTACCCAAAGCAATAAATGGATTTAATGAAGTCCCTATCAAAATCTCAATTGCATTTTTTTTTTACAAAAATAAAAAAAAAAATCCTATAATTCATATGGATTCACAAAGGACACCAACAGCCAAAATCTCAAAGCTGGAGACACCACACTTCCTGATTTTGAAATACATTACATAGTTTCAGTAATTAAAACAGTATGGTACTAGAATAAAGATGGAAATATAGGCCACTGGAACAAAACAGAGAGCCTAGACATAAACCTACATATAGATGGCCAACTGATCTTCAAAAATAGTGCCAAGATTATACAGTGGGGAGAGAATAGTTTCTTCAACAAATGGTGCCGAAAAACCTAGATAGTCACATGCAAAAGAATAAAATTGGACTCTAATCATACATCATAGACAAAAATCAACTCAAAATGGATTAAAGACGTAAGATCTACAATTGCAAAACTCCTAGAAGAAATCATAAGCTTCTTCACGTTGTCTTGGCAATGAGACTTCTTGGATATGACACCAAATGCACAGGTAACAAGAGCAAAAACAGACAGTGGGACTACAGCAAACTAAAAAGCTTCTGCACAGCAAAGGAAATAATTAACCCAGTGAAAACTCAACCCACAGAATGGGAGAAACTATTTGCAGACAATATATCTGAAAAGGGGTTAATACTCAAAATATATAAGGAACTCAAATAACTCAATAGCAAAAAATCAACTAACCCAATTTGAAAATGGGCAAAGGATCTGAATAGACATTTCTCAAAAGAAGATATATAAATGGACAACAGGTACATGACAGAAAATGCTCGTCATCACTAATCATCAGGGAATTGCAAATCAAAACCACAATGAGATTATTACCTCACACCTGTTAGAACGCCCATTATCAAAAAACAAAAAATAACGAGTGTTGGTGAGGTTGTGGAGAAAATGGAATCCTTGTATACTGTTGGCAGGAATGTAAAATGGTGCAGACACTATGGATGACAGTATGGAGGTTCCTCAAAAAATTTTAAAAAGGGGGCTGGCCAGTTAGCTCAGTTGATTAGAACACAGCCTTATAACACCAAAGTCACAGGTTTGCATCTCCATGCAGTCCAGCCACCAAAAAAAAAAAAAATTAAAAATTAAAAACAGAACTACCCTATGATCCAGAAATACTACTTCTGGGTATATATCAGTATGTTAAAGGGATACCTGCACTCCCATGCTCACTGTAGCATTATTCGCAATAGTCAAAATATGAAATCAACCAAAGTGTCCATCAACAGATAAATGGATAAAGAAAAAGTTGTATATACATATAATACAATACTATTCAGTGTTTAAAAAAAAAAGGAAAATCTAGACCAAAAGAAAAAAAATGGAAGGAAATCCTGCCACATGTGAAAACATGCATGAACCTTGAGGATATTATGCTAAGTGAAACAAGCAACTCACAGAAGGACAAATACTGCATGATTCCACTTATATGAGGTATGAGATATCTAAAACAGTCAAACTCCTACAAGCAGAAAATAGAATGGTGGATACCAGAGAAGGGGAAAAGTTGCTGCTGCTATTCAACAGTATAAAGTATCAGTTAAATAAGATGAGAATTTCCAGAGATCTGCTATACAATACTGTGCTTATACTTAACAATGGTATAAAGTACACTAAAAATATTAAGAGGGAAAATCTCATGGTTATGTTTTCCTACCACAAAAAACGTCTTTGATATTTATTACACATACTTGCAAACTCTTGCACAGTTGTTCCACAGAGGAAAATAATGAACAGATAGCTGAAATTAGTGACACTAAAAGCACCTACAGTAAACCTGTATTCCCATTAATGGCACAATCAGGTTTCTCATAGTCAGTCCTTTCTGACTAGAATATAGCATAGCTGGAGAGCTAATAAAGGCAAAGATAAGCACTAAAGACAAATATTTAGCAGAGGAAGATCCCAAGAGGGAAATCTGAGAACTGCAAAATATACCACAGAATGCAAAATCTTATGTGTTATTAGGTTCAAATCTAAATAATAGAGTTCTCAATTTTTTCAAGGCACAGGACAGCTAAGGAATTTGACACTGTATGCTGTGTCGCACAGCAGGTCAGTGGGAAATGAACAAACCATTTTTAGCAGCCAGTTTAATGCAATGAGTCAGAATCAGCCACAATGCTTCCAAAAGGCTTTCTGAAATTCAGAGACTCTGGAACAATCTAATTCAGAACATGTCTAGAACTAGTTTCCATGAACCCAGGCCACATTCTTACATAAGACTTCATGTAAAGCCTTCTAGATGAACTATATGGAAGCATATTAAAAGATTAAAAGCCAACATTAAGTATTAGAGGAACCAAGTATAATCCCTATTATCTGAAAAGGGTAGTGACAGATAACATTAAAAAGTAGGTAACTTAAAATAACTTATATTTTGTTTTTATCTACTATTTTCTTTTCTCAATATTATTCCTTTTTATTTTTGCCAAGATCAGTTTAGCATTTAATTTGAATTTCTTAAAGACAAAGCAACTAGACAGTGGAGAGTACAGCATATGCTACCCAATTTAAACAAAAACATTCTCAAGTATGACCATATTGCTTTGAAAAAAACTGGAACATGTATAGACAAATGTAAAGAAAGGACACATTCTTAAATGTCTGAATTTTAATAGTAGTATTTCCATTCTTGTCTTTTTCAACTACAACTGCTATAGTTCCTCAGGCCATTACTGAGTTGAATAAATAGAAACTCCCTTGTTAGAGGACTTGTGACTTCCTTTTAAGACACGAGATCCACAGAGTTTAAGCACATAATTTGATTACTAACCTCATCTGAATCCAGAAGGGCTGGAAGTGCTCTGCAGAGAAAGAGAAATACTAAATTGAACAATGTAAAATAAAGCCATAAATGATTCACAAAGGACAATGAAATACTGAATGCAATTTAAAGCTTTTTCGTAATCATCTAAGATTTGCATCTTATTAATGGACCTTTCAGGGAAAAAAGCAAATATAATAAACAAGAATCAGAGTTACTAGAATTGTATAGGAAATTAAAAAAACGATGTTCTATAATGGGATAGGACCAATGAAAATTAATTGCCCTGGAAAGGAACTAAAAAATTTCAAAAGGATCATCCCACTGATTTTGGGAAGATCTATAGCTAAATCTTTATAAGCAGAAATGTCATCCGAATAAATAATCCCAATTATTTTTGTTTGTATATTATTCCTAATCTTTTAACTATTTTTTGACATCTTTTATTCTCATTAGTATGCTCTTCAGCTCATTTGTTTAATATAATAAAAGAGTAGCACTAACTTTGAAATATGATTTTTGTGGTAATAGTTCAAACTTACACATCTGTCACAGAAGAAGGAACATTCTCTTCTACCCACTTCAAATCATCTTCCTGCTGAGAACATACATATACCAGTTGTTATTAAAATGCACCACATAATACATCTCAAGTAAGAATCTAAAGTTCTTAAAATCTTTAGTCTTTTGTATCTCCAAATTCACATAACAAATGGGACTACTGATAAAAAAGTCAAATAATTAAAAAAAAATTTTTTTTTAATACTTTTGACCACATCTCTGCAATTCCCCACCAGTCCCTGGTAACAATCACTCTGCTCTTTGCTTCTAATGAGTTCACCTTTTTTAGATTCCAAATACAAGTGAGGTCACGAAATATTTGTCTTTCTGTGCCCTGCTTATTTCACTTAATGTCGTCCAGGTTCATCTGTGTTGTTGCAAATGACAGGATTTCCTTCTTTTTTAAGACTGAATACATTATGTATACACCAGGTTTTCTTTATTCATTTATCCAATGACAGACATTTAGGTTGAATCCATATCTTGGCTAGTGTGAATAATGCTGAAATGAATGTGGGAGTGCAGATATCTCTTCAACATACTGATTTCATCTCCTTTGGATATGTACCCAGTAGTGGAATTGCTGGAACACAAGATAGTTCTATTTTTAATTTTTTGAGGGACCTCCTTACTGTTGTCCATAATGGCTATTCTTGTTTACATTCCCTCCAACAGTGAACCAGGGTTTCCTTTTCTCCATATCCTCACCAACACTTTTATCTTTCATCTTTTTGATATCAGCCACTCTAACAGGTGTGAGGTGAAAATCTGTGGTTTTAAATTGCAGTTCCCTGACTGATTAGTGATGATGAACATTTTTTCATGTATCTGTTGGCCATCTGTAGGTCTTCTTTTGAGAAATGTCTGTTCAGGTCCTTTGCCCAAATTTAATTGGGTTAGCTGATTTTTTGCTATTGAGTTGAGTTCCTTATATATTTTGGATATTAACCCTTTACCAGAAATATGGTTTGTAAATATTTTTGCTCATTCTGTAGGTTGTGTTTTTACTCTGCTTCCTTTGCTGTACAGAAGCTTTTTAGTTTGGTGTGGTCCCACTGGACTGTTTTGCTCTTATTACCTATGCATTTGGTGTCATATCCAAAAAGTCATTGCTCAGACCAATGTCATGGAGTAATGTTTTTTTCTACAGGTTGAGTATCCCTTATCCAAAATGCTTGGGACCATAAGTGTTTCAGATTATGGATTTTTTTCAAATTTTGGAATATATGCAGATACTTAACCAGCTGAGCATCCCTAATCTGAAAATCCAAAATCCTCCAATGAGCATTTCCTTTGAGGATATATCAACGCTAAAAAAGTTTTGGGTTTTGGAGCATTTTGGGTATCAAACTGTCAGATTAGGGATAATCTGTAGTAGTTTTACAGTTTCAGGGCTTGCATTAAATTCTTAATCCACTTTGAGTTCATTTTTGTACATAGTGTGAGATAAGGGTCTGATTTCATTCTTTTGCATGTGTATATCAAGTTCTCCAAATACCATTTATTAAAGAAACTGCCCTTTCTCCATTGTGTTCTTGGCACCTTTGTTGAAAATCAGTTCACTGTAAGTGTGTGGATTCACCTCTGGGCTGATTATTCTGTTTCACAGGTCTATGTATCTGTTTTTAGGCCAGCACCATGTTGTCTTAATTACTATAGCTTTGTAGTATATTCTGATATCAGGTAGTGTGATGTCTCCAGCTATGTTCTTTTTGCTCAAGAGTTCCTTGGCTATTTGGTTCTTTGTGGTTCCATATAAATCTTAGGATTATTTTTTTCTACTTCCATAAAAAATGTCATTGGAATTTTGATAGGGATTATAACAAATCTGTAGATTGCTTAGGGTAGGTAGTATGGACAATTCAATATTAATTCTTCCAGTTCATGAACATGAACTATAATTCCATTTATTTGTGTCTTCTTCAATTTCTCTCATCAGTGCTTTATAGTTTTTGGTGAATAGCTTTTTCACCTCTTTGGTTAAGTTTATTCCTAAGTACTTTAATTTTTTGTAGCTATTCCAAATGGGATTGTTTTCTTGATTTCTCTTCCAGATGGTTCACTGTTAGTGCATAAAAACACTTCTGATTTTTGTACACTGATTTCGTATTCTTTATTAAATTTGTTTATTAGTTCTAACAAATTTTTGGCGGAATCTTTAGGGTTTCAGATACGTAAAATCATCTCATCTGCAAACAGGGACAATTTAACTTCTTCCTTTCCAATTTGGGTATGTTTTATTTCTTTCTCGTGCCTAATTGTTCTGGCTAGAACCAAATAATTTAATTTTTAAAACTATGTATCAGAAATATAAAACAATGTCCTAATATCCTTAAATCTCTTCTTAGTGATCTAATATCTAGAGTTTGCTTCATGCAGGCTTTGCTCTTTAAAGCTGAGATCAATTCTAAAGTCCCTTAATGTAGAGTGAATGCTCAGTTCTAATAAAAAAATATCCTTCCTGAGAAAATCTTGGTCTTTACTACAAAAAAGACCTTAGGTTTTTAATGGGGCTGTGACTTCATTGACGAAATCATTAAACAGAACAACCAGACTGGTCTGTACTTTTTCAAAATTTGGTAGCAAACCACTTAGTTAAAGATTATTCAATCTTAGCTTCACTTGCTGTCTGTTTTTGAAAATGTAAATGTAATATACATTAAAAGATTTATAAAGCAGGCCTAATAACAGCAGATGTACAAAAATCATTAAAGCCTCAGGTCCACCATTAAAGCCTTGAGTTCCACCAAGAGCTGGAGGACAGAACAAAGACCACAGAGGAAAGGATAAGAAGTCATACTTACTGCTTTGTTTACTTTAGTATTTCCATTTGGTTCTTGTTTAGTACTTCTCATTTTCATTCCTTCTGTAAACGAAAAAAAAAGTAGATTGGTTATTAACTCTGTCAACAGACCAGCAATTACTGCAAAAATGGATTCAGAGCTTTATTTTAAGCTTACTGAAACTTGTGAATTATGCAACAGATGTTACCCCACCTTCATATCCATGCTAGGAAGTTCAAAGCTAAATTGTCAGCTCACTTGTAGCAAGTAAACTGGACATTTAATGTGCAGTCCTTTACTGAATTTACCATGGCTTCCTCTTAAGACTCACACCCTTATTTTCTCTTCACCCTAACTTTACCACATATCAAACTGAGAAACAATACAGTTGTAAAATAATAAACAGTGAACTTACATAAAAAGAATAAAGCACAAATAAAAGGAGAATTTTATCACTACCAAAGCTTTCTTTCAGCATAGGTTCCTTTTGTTCATCTTCCTCTTCTTCCTCAGACAATGGTGAAAAGGCAAACCTGACAGAACAAAGGTAGAACAGAAGAAAAAAATTAGAAAACTACGAAAACTGCTCTACCATCTGGATTTTATAGGACTAGTTACTGACACTGCGATCATAATAATTCATAAAATCAGTTAGTGAATAAAAAAAATAATTCTTCCCCTTCGGAAAGTTCTTAATTGCCTACATTAGCAAGGGAAAAGCAGGACGACATGATATTTATGAGTGTAAGCTCAGCCGCATACTACCTAAGACCTTAGACAAGTTACTTAATCTCTCTGTACCACCAGTTTCCTCATCTGTAAACAGGGATAATGGAATATTAGTCTCACAGGGGTGTTTTGTGAAACGTAAATAAGTCATTACAAATAAAGTGCTTAGAACAATACCCAACACATTCAGTAAGCAGTCAATCAATGTTCATTTATAAAGATACCCAAAGGGTTTTCAAAAGTTCATGGAAAGATCTGTATTATCTTTTCATTCCATTTTTCCACAAACTTTTTGAAGAACCCTCATATATCACACAGAGGTAAGTAAATTCTCACCTAACTTAAATCCCAGCCTTCAAATTTGAAGTTAAGATAAGGATGGACTAATCTCGTGTGTTCCAGCTTATTTAAAATCTCAGTTTCCAAGTGGGGCACTCAGAATATAAAGGCCTGATCTGATACATCGCAGATGCCTTTCCTTCACAACTTCTAAGAGACTTAGCAAAGCAGCTGCCAGGCAGGTAATTTCTAGAATGCTTTAGCTTTGACCTTAACAAGTACTTCCCATTTTATTGCTGCACACTATTTTCTTTCTACCTTGTTTTTAAATCTCCCTTTCATGATAAAATCTCTCAATAAGCTAGGAATAGTAGGAAACATCTGTAACTTATTAAAGGGTAAGTAACAAAATTTTGTGGTACATGTCTTGGCTGATGATACACAAGAAGCATTTAAAGTCAGCATAAGATGAGAAGGCCCATTCTGCCTCTAGTCAATATTATACAGGAAGGCCTAGCCAACATAATAATACAACAATCAGTTATGAGATAGGGAGATTATTTGGCAAGGAAGGAACTGCATTATAATGACTTTAGACAAAAACCTATCTGATGAGAAAATCTAGAAATTATCAGAAGATAATATAGGAGGATTGATGATTATGATAAATATATAAAAATCAATAGCATTCCTACATGTTTAGAAAAGCTATATATATATTTTTTTTTAAAGTCTGTATTCACAAGAGCCACAAAAAAAGGTAAATAAAAAGTTAAAAAACACAACTGAAGCACTGAAAGGACTAAAAAATAGGGAGAAATACCATATTAAAAAATGAAGTTATCAAGAAGATACACAATAATTTCCCAAATTAATCCATTAATTAAGTTAAATTACAATCAAAACCTTAATAAGATTTTCCTAGAATTAAAAAAACAGGCTAACTTTTTTACTAAAAAGCAAAGATCCAAGGGCTGGCTGGTTAGCTCAGTTAGGAGAGCACGGTGCTGACAATACCAAGGCCAAGGGTTCGGATCCCTGTACTGCCAGCTGCCAAAAAACAAACAAACAAAAAGCCAAGATCCAATAGCAAAGGCTATTTTTTTTAAAAAAGGATTAAGAGTAGAGGTTTAGGCCCTCCAGATACTAAGACTAATCAGGAAGATAAGGTAATTACGACAGTGTACTACTGATGCAGGATTAGCATAACAAGAAAGAATGGAGAGCCCAGAATCAATTCTTGGTGGATGAAAAGTCTTGATTGTGAAATTCTTAAAAAAAATTATAGCAGAGTAACTTTATGACTTTACATCAGGCTAGGAAAGGATTTCTTAAGACACAAAATGTACAATCCAAGAAGGAAAAAAAAAATGACAAATTTGACTCCATATTTCCAGGTTTTTGTATGAACAAAAACAGCATAAAATTTAAAAGATAATCAACTAGGTTCTTCTGCAATATGTGCAATACTTATAATGAACAAAATATTTGCATCCAAAATATATTACATATTCTTACGAATCAATACATAAATTATTACAGTTTGAATGTGTGTCCCCTCTAAAACTCATGTTGAAACAATCTACAGTGCAACAGTATTGGGAGGTGGACCTAATGGGAGGTGCTGACGTCATGAGGGCTCTATACTCATGAATGGATTAATGCCATTATAAAAAGTCTTTATGGCAGTGGGCTCTCCCTCTTGCCCTTCCACGATCTACCACGTGATGATGCAGCAAGAAGGCCCTCCACCAGATGATGGCACCTTGATCTTGCCTTCCCAGCCTCCAGAACTGTGAGCCAATAAATTTCTGTTCATTATAAATTACCCAGTCTGTAGTATTTTGTTGCAGCAGCACAAAATGAACTAAGATTATTAATAAGCCAATAAAAAGTAAGCAAAAGATATAAAAAGCTAATTCACAAAATTATATGACCAGTAAACAGAAAAAAGATACGAAAAGTAATCCAACCTCCCTCAAATGCAAATAAAAGCAACACCAATATTAATTCTCATCCACCAGGTCTACAAAGCTTAAATAAAATGATGGGAGATGTGGAAGGAAGGAAAGAAAAAGCTCCTTTCATACCATTGTTGTTAGATGCATAATTTGTTTCAGGTTTCTTTTGGGAATGCAATCTAGAAATACTTTAAAAATTACAAATACACATACCCTTAACCCAGCAATTCCAAACCCACTCATTAAATATTTCTTAAGCATCTGCTATGTATCAGAGTGCAATGAAAAATTAACCTTACGTAAAAAGAAGTCTGGACTTTCCTTTGACTAGTGGGAAGTGATCTCTCTGCTGCTGAAAAATCCTGCCTGATAGGAGTGTTTTTGTCTGCCTGAGAACCTGGGCCACCAGACAGTCTAACAGTGTGCTTTGGGTACATCATATCAGTTGTAATCTCTGGAGAACTGGAAACTAAAGGTATTAGCTAAACTTGCAGGAAGGTGGTTTATGATTGAGCTGCCAATCAAATGGAATGGAAACTCTGGGCACCAAAGGCTCAGATAAGTTCCCAGGGTGGCAAAACTCTGTGTACTGTTACATACTGTAGCCTGGAGGAGGTAATGCCATCAATGACTCTATGGGGAGAGAATTACTGGGAGTTCTATGTTTAGACCCCACCTAGACTCTGCCCTATGTGTCTCTTCCCTTGGTTGATTTTAATTTTTAATTTATGCCCTTCCTCTGTAGGTAGCCATAAGCCTAACTGCTTTCAGTTAGTTCTGTGAGTTTTAGTGAATGATCAAAACTGAGGATGGTTTTAGGAACCCCCGAACTTGCAATTGGTGTCATAAATGAGGGCAGTCTTGTGGGGACTGTTCCCACAGACTTTGTGCAGTTTGGCTAACTCTGGGTAGTTGGGGCCAGGAGAAGTGAGATTCCCCAGAACGATGCTGACTCACTGAAACATGTGGTTTGGTAACAGAAAGGATAAGAGGGTGGAGTTAACAAACCTTTGAATCCCAGACAGACACAAGGTCCCCCATGGTTTAAAACCGCAGCTGTGCTGCCATCATTACCAGAGGTAAAAGTTACCAATGAAATTTAGAAATGATCCAACTCCTGGGTAACAAGTTAGCTCACTGGATGTACAAGGAAATACAAATAACAAGAAATAAGTAAAACATATAGCCCTTTGGTTATCATTATCTGTGATAGCTAAAATGAAAGTAAGGAAGAGTGTTGAAGTAGGATGCTGATAATGGGCCAAGCATGGATTCTAGCCAGTCCAAGCTAGAGCCTCTAGTCTCAGAGCCCCTAACAAAGAAACCGGTAGAGAGATCCTGATACTGGGCCAAGCTTGGATTCTAGCCAGCTAACCTACAGCCACTAGCCCAAGAGTCACTTCAAAAGGGAAAAATTATGCTAGAAAAAACAGACAGCAAAGGTTAGAATGATTCGCAGAATGGACAAAGAAAGGGAAAGGAGAAAGGGGAGAGTCAAGAGACTTGTCCCAGCAGGGTTGAAGTCTTTAAACAGTTATTAAGGAATGGTATGAATAAAGCAGAAATTGATGGGTCAAAACAAGATTTAATACAGCACTCTTGGAAGTTGGGTAGACTAATGGGAGCACCTGCTGGTCCCCCAACATTGAAAGGCCCTAAACAAATCTGTTTCATTTACCCTAGTCTGGAGGAATTCAAAGTCTGACCTCCAATCACCTGGGGTGTTGGTCCCACAATTTAATCAAGGTAAAGACTGATGAGAAAGCCTGGGTCCCATGACCCAATCCCTGGCTGGGGACTCACAGCTATATGCACATGAGTGGGTAAAATGGTCAACGGGTAGAGAAGAGGCATTTCCGGGACTCCTTGTCATGGGAGCCCCAGGCACTGTGGCTCCAAAACCTGTTGGTAAGTCCAAATGGGGCTACAGTCAGATTAGGAGGATATAGGTTGAAAGGGTCAAAGTAAAAGTTTGATGAAAAGTGGTATATTTGAAAAGGTTTTATGTAAAGTGGTTGTGTCTTCTTTACCTGAATGTATTATGGAAATGGCTACGTCAGACAGGGAACACTTAGCCTACCTAGTACTGTAAAACCAAAACCTGTCAGTAAAGTCCTGATGGAACTATAGCTAGACTGGGAGGCTATATAAATGCAACAGTTGATGGGATTAAGGTAAAAGTTTGGATGAACACTGGAAGGTTTAAACAGACTCTATGTGAAGTAGCCATATCTCCATTACCATAAGGATGAAGACTGTGACTGAATGGGGAATACTTCCCTTACCTAGTAGCATAAAGCAGAAGGCATATAAATCTGTCCTTCTGCCCTCATTGACTGGACATACTAAACGGGAACCAGTAAGACTGCCCAAGCCCTAAGAGGTCATTAATTTCTAACAATATAGAACAGAAGGTGGAGTGCTGGTAAAGACAAATTCTCTATATAAAAGTCTTATGCAGGCAGTCTTGTTGGGACTCTTCTTTCATAAACTTTGGCTAACTCTGGGTAGCCAGGAGTTCTTTGTCCTTGTGGAATTTACAATTTTGGGGGTGGGTGAAGGCAGGGAGCGGAGGGGGAAGGCAGACACTAAACAATAAATACATAAAATATATAGGATTTAGAAGATAGTAAGTGCAATAGGAAAAAAAAAAGAATGGAACTAGGGGTCACTGGAGTGCATAAGAATAAACATACACAGGTATTTATATTATTGTACCTTATCCTATTTTTAATTCCCCCTATGCATAAAAGAGTTAACATAACAGGCCTTCAGAAAGGCCTGCTTACAAGATTGGCCCATGGTTGGCTCTGGGAACTTCGCACATGACCTGTAACCTAACTGGTAAGGGTGAATCATCACTATGCCTAGACTGTTGGTTCAATGTGATTTATGATAAACATTTGTTTTCCTCTTGGAAACATGGAATTTTACTATGTACTAGGCAGAGGGTGCTTACATGACCAGTCTCCAATAAAACCTTGAGTGCTGAGTGTCTAATGGGCCTCCCTGGGCAGGAACAATGCACATGTGTTACTGTATTTTTGTTGCTGGGGAGAGGAACACATTTGATGTACCTCCTCAGGAGGGAAAGAACACAAGGAAAGAAAATGAATTTCTATAGACTCCGCCTGTTTCTTTTCCCTTTGCTGATATCAGCATCTTGTAAAAAACTTTAGCTGTAAGTACACCTAGGCTGAGTCCCATGAGTCCTTATAGTAAACCACTGAACATAAGGGTGGTCTTAAGAACACCGAAAAACCTCAAACAAAAAATAGCTCAAATACTCATTAAGAAGGGAATAAATTAGTTTAACCGTATTGTATCTGTACCACGTAATATTATGGCACCCATGAAAATGAATGTGTTCAATTTAAACCAGTTACCTTGGAAGGAATTTCCGCAATGTACTGTTGGTAAGTAAAGGAAGATTCCATATTTGAAGAGGAAATAAAATGTGAAATGATTCACTACATTAGACTGTTAACACTGATGTCACAGAACTGAAGGCATTTTTTTGTTTGTTTTGGGGGGTTTTCTTGGTGGTTGGCAGGTATGGGGATCTAAATTCTTGACCGTGGTGTTATCAGCACCACTCTCTGAGTGAGAGCCCTTGAAGGCAATGTTTTAAAATAAAAGGGAGAAAAAGGAAGTGTAGAGGGTTAGAAATTTTGATTCCTATTTGATTATTAGATAGCGTTTTTAGGTAATGCATGCATGGGACAAAAGTCTTTGAATAGGAGGCAAGAGCCCACCAAATCAACTTTTTTTTTTTGACTGGTAGGGGAATCACACCCCTTGGCATGGTGTGGCCCGCCCCATGCTCAGCCAGTGAGCGCACCGGCCATCCCTATATAGGATCCGAACTCGTGGCCTTGGTGCTACCAGAGCCACACTCTCCCGAGTGAGCCATGGGGTTGGCCCAAATCAATTCTAGTCCAGTATATGTTTATTCTCAGTTGATTTTTAGTATAGGGTTTTTATGTAATGCATGTATGGGACAAAAGTCCTCAGACAGGAAGCAAGAACTTACAGCTAGAGGGCAAGAGCCCACCAAATCAATTCTAATCACTGTTTAGGTAAGGGATTATATACACTGATTGTTAATATAATGGGTTCATTCGAAGATTTTGTGAGAAGGAAACTCACACAGGTTTAAAGCCTTTAATATGAGCAAAAGAAATGAAACAAAACAGGGATTGTTCTGAGGGCAATAACCTTTAATAAAACAAAGCTTAAATGATAGGAAAATATGTGAATTAAGATTTCCAAGGACGTTCTGCTAGTTAGTACATGGGGGTTATTCCACATTTTGCTTTAAGCTGTTTCTTTGAGTTTCTCAAGAAGTCAGGCACTTTCATGATTGTTTTATGACTTTTTTGATGGTATAGTGTTTAAACTATTGTGAACCATGCATGCTTGGATGAAGATTGTTACACAGCCAATTTCTGTATGTTCTTACTAAGACTGATTAACCACCATTCTTTTCCTGTAATTTCCTTGTTTTTTCAATAAAAAACTGAAGCAAAAACCGACTTGGGGCTGTACCCAGTTTCTCCTTCTAACAGAGGAGATGCTGAGGTGCAGTCCCTTTGGGCTTCTCAAAGTATTCATGTTGCTTTGAGTAATCTTTTTGCATCTCTGTTACACAGTGAGAGGTGTAACAAGGAAGAGGGAAGGCAATGCAAAAATTTTTTTAAATATAAATATAGCTAGCAAGTAACCAGTAGATCAGCAGACCAGTGTAAAAGAAAAGTCCCGAGAATGTCTAGGTTCTTTCTGAACAGTGTGATTTCAGATCTTTATTTTCTACCATGGGTTTTCTCTATTATTTGTTTTTTCTTTCTTTTTTTTGTTTCAATGAACACATATTAAGTGCATAATTTGAGAAGACAAGGCTTGGGGCCAGCCTGTGGCTCACTTGGGAGAGTGCGGTGCTGATAACACCAAGGCCATCGGTTCGGATCCCTATATAGGGATGGCCAGTTGGCTCACTTGGGAGAGCGTGGTGCTGACAACACCAAGTCAAGGGTTAAGATCCCCTTACCAGTCATCTTTTTTTAAAAAGAAAAGAAAAGAAAAGGCTATTTTCATGGGGTAAAAGAATGTCACTTATTTTCTTTCCCTAAATTGGTATGTATGATTATAAAATTAGCTGTTTAGTTATATCATCTTACCATTTTCCTTCTTGGTGTTGTGGTTATTTAATATAAACTCTTAACTGTCTAAATACAAAAGAAGGGAGGAAAAAGAGAAACAAAAGATAGATATTCATAGATATTCACAAAATAAAGATAGGCAGTTCCTAAATAATTGAGATTTGCCTTTAGTTGGACAAAGCAAATTCCCATGTGGATTTTTAATTCAAAAATTAGTCACATAAGTTTTCGGTTTACCCTCTATGTCATTACGAAGTGAGCTGGGCTGCTGACTACAGAAATGTTTCTTTCCTTTTAGATATTAGACAGGAGACACTCTCCCTATAAGAAACACAATATATCTACCTCCTTTACCAATCTAAATATTTATATTATCAGAAGATGTCAGAGTTGAAATGGACCTCACATCACTTAGTTTAACTCCCCCTCATTATTTGAAAGGAAACTAAGGCCCAAAGAGGCAACATGCCAAAAATTACAAAGCAAGTTAAGAGAAGAGCTCAGACAGGAACCCAGTTCTCCTGATCCCGGACATAGTGTTTCTTCCACCATACAACACAGCCCTGACACTGTCCCCTGCAATGCACCACCCCTAATTGATAACATGGCCTTATAATGGTTAGCAGAACAAATAATAAGAGTCCAAGAACCTCTGGTTGTTTGCAGATGGTCGCCAGAGAATCATGATGACAAAGAGGATCATGGAGAACAGCAACCGCCAGATGGCATCATCTACCCACAGCTCCCGCCAGTCCTAAGGGGGAAAAGTACATTTATACACATTATCTTAACGCTCTGTTCATTTATTTACTCATTCAAGTTGTATTTACTAAAATGCTGCTATGTGCTAGGCACTGTGCTAAGTGCTGAGGATACAAAGGGAATGAACATAGTTTCTTCCCTTGCAGTGCTTACTGTTAAAGAAAAGGTACCAACTGAACAGAACATTTGTCAAAGCATCCTCATAGCTCTGAGAATCTTTGGGAAAGGGTTCATACAGGACAAGAGAGTAACATTAGGTTGTTATATTTTATAATTTTCATTTATCTATTTTTACCAAAATAGAGCCTTAGCTACCTCCAAAGAAATCCTTTTGACCACTGTCTTTGTGCTCAACGATATGGTCTTAACGATATGGCTTTTACTCAGATTAATATTACTCAAACACCACTAAATGTTTAGGACTCTGGACTTCTTATTCAAGATTTTTAGTTAAAGCAAGACAGGATTATGATAGACTATGCTTACCACTTATAAAATTCTCTCCCACTATTGGGATACAGTCAGACAAAACAAACAAAAAAACCAACCACCACACCAAAAACTATGATAGTACTTAGGAGGAGGGAAGTATTACAACCCTCAGAGTAGGGACCTAGCCCTAAGTTCTTTTAAGCTGCATACCTTATAAGAATCTTATTACTGTCATCATCATCATTGTCTGGGTATAAGACAATACATTATTCATAAATGTATGTGCTTGTAACTCACCGACTGACAAGTCACTATCCTGAATTTCATGGTTGTCCAGATGATAAATACAATAGAAGCTAATAGTAAATGAAAACACTGATCAGAGTATGAATGTTGGTTTACATGCCCAATAACATTCCCCCAATTCTCGTTATGTGGAATTCCATACCCCTCTCATCCCTGATATAACACAATTATTTTTTTTATCAGTTATTTTAACAAACACAATACAAACTTTACTGAACACCTACGATAAGCAAGACCCATGATACATACACTTGTCAAGTACAGTTTTGTAATAATTTTGTTTATCATCTGGCTACTTTACTAACCCTCAGAATTGGAATAGACAGTATTGAAAATGTGGCTTTTTCAAGCATTATCAACATAATTTTCCTTCTTTTACCCTTAGTATAGTAATGCTCATTTTTGTCTGGTCAAATGGAAAAAAAAAAATGCCTGATAAAATGACTGCAACACAAACAGAAGAGTGGATCTACATCCACAGATCAGACCTCATTATTCCTGGTAAAACGGGCAAGAGGCAGGCAAATTGGCCTAGTCTGGCTACGGTACAGCTAATGTCTATGTTTTATGATGCTTAGATATATATGTAAAAGCACGATAATAGCAATGTACCCTAAACCTAAAATTCAACAGCTATTTAATAAAACTAAATAAGCATGTAGTACTGTCTTCTAAAAGGAATCTAAATGCTATTTGGCACTCAAGTTAACTTGCCTCAAGAATGCCTTAGAAGAAGAATGGAGAGAAAAGAGGGATACACTAAAAGCTAAAATGATATGAGGTTCATTTTCAGGTATTACACTTAAAATAAGTGGTTCTTAACCTTTCTTATTTTTTAATTTATTTTCTTAATCTTTTTTTAAACCATAGGTCCTTTTGAGAATTTGACAAAAGCTAAGAATCTCTTCCCCAAGTGAAACATAGAAAACTTTCTATACCCACTCATGGCCTCTTAGATTAAGTATCTCTGTTCTGAAAGGATTACATTTAAACAGCAGGAAGAAAGTCCCAGACTTACCTGCCACTGCCAAGATAAGTGTGTTGGTGAAATGTCGGTATAAAGAGAGTTTTACGATGTTCCTCCGAAGTTTTAATAGCTTCATTGTTTGAGTCAGGCTAATAAATATGTGTTTGCAGGTCAAGGAATTCAAATTTCAGAAAAAAATAGTAGTAAGCCAGTAAATTAATCCTCAGGTTTATTTGAGGATCTGGGATTATACTGACAAAATTGTTGATCTCAGAGGCTGTATAACTCTTTTATTCTCACTTAATCTCACAAACACCCCAGGTCTCACCAAGATAATTCTTTCTTATCCAAGAAAGCCATTGTTTTCAAAGAGACATTAAAGAGAAGGCAGAATCAAGATAAAAATAGAATGTAAAAATAAGAGGAAAAACATAAAAAGGAGAAATGAAGACAGGAGGAGGCTTTCTAGAAAAACAAAAAAAAAAAAAATGAAAAAGAAATAGGAAGACAAATGAAAGAAGATGAAATGAAAATGAGTAACAGGCAAAGGACATCTTCTCTTTTCCTTTAGGGTATGTAGCTCTGTTCTCATCTGTCCCAGCTAATCCAGTCTAAGGTCATAATTACACTCATACCTACAACCTCCTAGAGTTCTACACTCAGTCCCCTCCTACCATCTGAAGGAACCTGCCATTAGCTGCCTGCACCACCCCGAATTAAGAGAACTCTACAATTGGCTGAGACTCCCAGGCAGTTAGATTCCAAAAGCAACGACTCTCCATTTCTAGAACATTATTCCCAAGTAGAAGTTGCCAGAGAAGGAGGAGGGAACTGTTGGCTACTAAAGACAGTATCTGCTCTCATATGCTACTTTCAGAATGAAGAACAGATACAAAAATAAGGGAGTTGAAGTTTGCTCTGCCCTTTGACAGAGTCTTAGCTGTTATCTAGTCATTTGGCCATCTTATTTTATGGTTTAGTCCCACTGCCCTCTCAATTCTTCCCAATACTTGCAGAGGTTCAGAAAACATTTGGAAAGACACCGATCTTGAGAAGTTTTGGTCATGTGGACCTAAGACACTTCAATTTCAAACATTTTAGCTATATGGCAATCCACTCAAATGCAAAAAATTACAATTTTGTTCACATTCAGCTTTTTGCAATAGTCATTATCTATCAAAATAGTAATATTGCTCAATTATCCATAGGACCAAATATATAAAAACCAAAATAAATTTAAAATAACCTCAAAAAGACAAAGTCACAAAACCCGATTGAATCTTTCATCCAATAGGCCAAGGCCCTAATAAACAAATGTTTAATTTTAAGGAGTACGAGAAAAAGGATTACTCAGATGAAACTTGTTTGTTATCTGCTGGTTGACTTTGCCTGTAAATGAATCAATATTTACTCTGAACGGTGAAAGTCTTCAGACAATCTCAAGTCAGCTTTTGAGTGAGGGAACAAAACACTCACCCTGTAAAGGTTAAAACCTGCTAAACCTACAGTTTCAGAAGAGTCAAACCACATTTTAAGGATCAAAATATTTTCATAAGTTTCAAAGCATTTAATAACTGCTGAAGGCCAAAGAAAGAGCAGGACCAGAGCAGCCTGTGATTCTCACACTAAGTGAGGTGCACAAATGAGTCCAAAATCAAAGTGAAATGCTCTTTAAAACAAAGAGAAAAGTCAGAAGCTTTTCTCCTGTGCTCAGTCTACAGTAACCAATTTCTGATATGATTTTAAAAATTAAAAAAAACCCTGCTTACCTGAACCCTCAGGTAATTAAGCCTTAACATACACTATTCTCCAGACTAAGGAGTAATCAACAAAACTGGTAAAAATTCTTTGCAGAAAGATCAATGGAAACCCATCTCCAAGGGGAGAAAATGGACTGCCATCACACAAGCCAATGAGAAGGATATCCACCAGCACAGGGCAGTGTCTAGGAAAGCCAAGGGGATAAAGGCCAAGGAAGCAAGATCAGTCTGGGCCTGCAGACAAAGAAAAAGAGGTAGTGAAAAACAGATGTCTAGAAAGGCACAGAGAAGAAACCTGCACACAATTCTGCATTTATATAATCATCTGAAATAGTTTTGCATTTGAACTGAAAGAAAATAAAAAGGACTAACACTTGACACCTAATCATTCTTCTCTTCTTACAAACCATCACATATTATATATAGCTACAAGCATTTCACACAAATTGTCAATTACAATCTCAATACAATGAAACATGCTACTAACTACTACAGAGTTCCTATCACACTAAGATCCATATTAGGAAGTGACCACACCAAATAGTTCTAGTGTTTATAAGCCTCCATCTCATCCTATCATTTCCTAGTAATGTGATTTAGGCTACAAGTCTAAAAAGACCCTTCTCATATTTTTAAAAAATTACTGTATCATTAATATATTAAGAATTATTGATTTCCAGAACCGTAATATAATGGAATTATACAAACAAGAGCTCGCCCCAAAATAAAACGTAAGGCAATTTATCTGTCCTCAAAAATATGCTGCTTGTTTCCACAAGTTTATACATAAGATGCTTTTTATGTAACTCTAATTACCCAATCACCAGGGCATTACTGAAAGGATATCCATAAAATAATACAGGCATCAATTGCTGATAGGGCCAGGTATACTATCAGAGCCAAGGGATGAGAAAAATACTACAACAGCAGCAGAAAGAAAAAAAAAAGCAAAATTGACAGAGAGTTAAAGTTGCTAAGTCTAAGGAAACTACATACAGAGCAGCGTGATTTGAAAAACAAATTTGTATCCACAAAATGTTTTATTTAAGGGGTAATTTACTGCAAAACTTATTGAGCCCAGTTTTCTTGATGGCAAAGCCAAGTTTATGGCATTTACCACTTTGAATCTAACAGGTTATTAAAGTGCCTGATTTTTAAATAAATAAGAAAGTAATCAGAATAGCCCAGGGAAGCCTATTTCTTCTTCACATTAATACAGCTATAACATAAACTTATCACTTAGATCTCAGTGCTTTGGTTTCCTTCCCTGTCAAAGGAAATAATTACATAATTCTCGAAAATGGTGTGAAACTTCATTAGTTGCATTTTAAGTAAGCCTCTTTTTTTTTTTTTTTTTTTTTTTTTTTTTTTTTTTTTTTTTTTT